TTTTTTTTAATGCTTTTTTAAGCTTTCGTTCGTTAGCGATAATCGCGATTCGAGCAACGCTTTAAAAGATAATTGCAAGACGTAAGCTATATACGAAACGTATAGAATCTTTTAGTTTATAAAAAGCTTTTTTTTAAACGCATTTTCGACGCATTTAAGCAATTCTTTTATTATTATATTATTCGAAGATGCGTTATTCGTTATAATTGCGATTATCTTTTTTATTAAATTTAATTTAATAAAGCGTTCGTAAATAATTCTTGCTAATTTTTTTTTTATATAATTAAATTTAACGTATATAAATCTAAGCATAAGCTAAATCATATGCTAATCTTTTATAATTGCAATTCCGATTATATATATAAAAGAATAGCGCTTAATGCTATACTAATAGTTTAATAAAATGCTAAGTTTTTAATTAGCTAATAAATTATTTAATAGATAGCGATTAATTTTTAAAATCTTATCGTCGAAGTCTCGCTTAATAGTTAAAGTATTAAAAAGCTTAAAATATAAGTTTTATAATTCGCAAAAAGATTTCTAATCCGAGTTATTAATTATTCGAAACGAGCTTCGCGTAAATAATATAACATTTAAAACACCTTTTCGAAATGCTAATTTTAAATCTTAATGCAAAAGCGTTTTTTATAATAAATGTGTTTATTAAATATTAGTTTTATTATTTATTAATTAAATTTATTAATCCGATTTATTAATTAGATTTATTAATTAGATTTACTAATTAGATTTACTAATCCGATTTATTAATTAGATTTATTAATTAGATTTATTAGATTTATTAACCGAATTTATAAATAAAAACAAACGTATTAAATTGCGTTAAAGAGATTTAAATTTTAATTAAGTTTGCCGAAGCTTTTATTTTAGCTTACTTACGACGCGTTTGCAAATATTCGTTTTTTAATAATCGGCTAATGCTTTCGTTTTAAAAGCTTTTAGCTTCGGATGCTTTAAAGCTCGATCGCACTTTTTATAATATATTATAAGCTCTTTTATTAATTTCTTAGCTGCTTAAACGAATTTAATTTATATAAAAGAAGTTTTCTTTTTATTTTAATCGATTCGCAAAGGATTTTAATTAGCCTTTTATTATTAAAAATATTATAAGGTTTATGATTACTAAGTATTAAAAGTTTTAATCTTTTTAACGTTTTAAATATAATATTAATTAAAACATTTAATAGTTGCTAATAGTATTAGGCCAAAGAAACTAATTATAAGGCTTTCGAACTTTTAACTTTAAAATAGATCGGTATCTTCGTAAGTAGTTAAAGTAATTTAAAATGAAAACGAATCAATAGCTTAAAAAAATATGTTTAAATTCTAGCGAATTTACTATTAAATTATTGATTTGAACTTATATATCAACGTCTTATATACTTAAATATTATATAATATTATTTTATAATTTAAATATATTTTATTAAGTTAATTTATTTTTAAAAAAAGTTTTGCTTACGCTTAATTCTTTTTAAGTAGCATTTTTGCGAGCGTTAAGTTTTAATTAGCGGTTTTTTTTTTTATCTTTTCATTTCTTTTTATTTCCTTTTTATTAAAGCTTAATTATAATTATATCTTTTAATACTTTTAAGCTCTTTTTACTTAAGTTGACTATTACGAATAACCTTTTTATATATAGACCTTAATATTAATATATTTATATCGACCTTAGCTAGCTAGTAGTATTTAAAAGAGTTCACGAGCTACTTAATATGCTTCGCTTAGCATATTATATTAATCAAAGGACTTTTAACTTAACTAGTAAACTTATTAGTTAGCTAATGCGCGTGATTCCTTTTAATTATATAAAACGAATCAGCTCTTTTGAATTTTAAAGAGCAATTAAAATTCAAATACTTTTACAACCGAGTGTTTTGCAATTGCAAGTACTTTAACGACCGTTACGAAGTTACGAATATATTTTTTAATCGCTTAAAAAGAATCTAATATTTAGTTTTTTTTAACTTTTACTTTCGATAATTATTAATTTCAAATTTAAATAATAATTTTATAATCTTTTTAAGCTTTATATAATCTTTTCGCTTTTTTATAAATTCTTTAAATAATCGCTTAAGGTCGTTATAATAAATACTTACTTAAATTTATTAAAGTTTAATTAATATATAAAGATAAAGTGCTTATAAAAATCTTAATTTAAATATAATCTTTGCAGCTTTCTTTTCGGCTGCTGCTATGCGATAAATAAAATTAATATAATCTAATA